AGAACAAGTAAAACCAAACATATTGGTCTGAATAGTTTGGTGCTGCGAACAAAACGAATGGTTGGGTCACAGTTTCTCTTTTTGAGATAGAGGAGATAGAGGGAGAGAAGTTTGGTCTCTGGGCAAAAGCATCGAGGACTGTGCTTCAAACTGTCTATTTCAGACTGTCTGTCTATTTTCTGGTTTTAGTGTCACGTGGTATTTATGTTTCAGTGTGTTTCCGTATAGAATCCACCATTCAGTCAACATCACGAAATGAACAACAAATTGTAAAATAGACCTTAAGCTAAAATGGCCGTCGAGATCTCGTTGATTCTCTCCCGTTATTGCGTTCACTGTTCCATTGATTTGATGATATACTATAAATTTATTTGGTACATATTTTCGCATAGTAATTAGTTGAGTTGCATATGACGATATATGTTCCTTATATGGTGTTATGCACTCCTTATATGGTGATATGCACTCCTTATATGATGATATGCACTTTTTATTTTGGGATATTCACACCTTATATGGTGATATGCACTCCTTATATGATTATGCGCTCTTTATATGGTGATATACACATTGTAAGGGGATATGCACTCCTTATATGGGAATATGCACACCTTATATGGTGACATGCACTCTGTATATGGTGTTATGCGCTCTGTATATGGTGATATACACCTTATAAGGGAATATGCACATCTTATATGGGGATATTTACACCTTATATGATGATATGCACTCCTTATATGGGAATATGCACACCTTATATGGGGATATGTACCTTATATATTGTGGTAGTCTCATATATGTATTTCAGAACATCAATAAAGATATAAATATATCTTATAAAAATTAAATAAAGCTGCTCTTTGAAGTGCTGTATTATCATTGGTCACAATTAACGTGTCATAACACACGTACACAGCTCAGAATATCGATTGTTATATTGTTAAAGATCATATCTTTCCACACAAAAAACTCTCGTCGCGCTTTTAAGTCTGCATGTAAACAGTTATGGGGACAAAGGTCGCCCACTGTGAAAATTCTAGAAGTTAAAGGGATCGAATAGCGTGCGTTGTACAGTGACTCGCACCCCCTAGGTGGGAAACCGTGAAGAACAGAATTTGAATGACAAATGCCTTGCGCTGTCACGACATTTAGTTTAATTCACGAGATCCACGTTAATCGATATTATCGTATTACATTGAGATCAATATTTCATGATGTCTGACGTCAGAAATATGAAGTGAGTGTCCCTTTCTCTATCGTTTCAAACATGTAATGTACAATGCTTATAAGCGGTACCTTTGAACAATCAAGACGCATATTACAATTTTACAATATATCAGTTTATCACCAATGTATGAAAATGTTTATCAATTTTAAGTCTCGCGCGGCGAATGTCAAATTCGTGTATATAAGCGTCATAGTCACCGTGTAGCGTCGTGTTATAATATCGTGTAAGCAAACAATATTTTCACACGTGTTGTATTCGTCGCATGGGACCCATATCGACATTTTCGCCAGCCAAAGACCATTTATTCGGCCGAAGCCTCAATATTAACCCTTGGCAGATTTCACCACGGTATGTCGCACGCCCTCAAACGATTATAAATTCATTTCTGCCGGCTCATTTATATCACCCAATCAGAACTTACGATGGAAACGACACATTACCTGATAAAATTGAAATGGTGGAATATATATATGAACGTGTCCCTAGCTTTTTTTTTCTGTGAACGAGCTTACTGACCATCAAAAGATAGCGCTTAGTGCTGTATCTGGAAGAAATGATGTGTTTGTTGCTACCACAGTCCCTCTTGGGGCTGTGTTGCAACGAACACCCGATCGGGCAAGTCGATATGTTGTCAGTTTCAACGGTTTTGACCGTTTACTAAAACACGGTTTGCACAAACATTTAGACATTCCATCGTCTTCATTTAATTGCCTGCAAACAATTTTCAACGTTGGAATAAGAAGTTTTTAACAAGTGTCAACAAATATAGATCTTCTGTTCTTGACTCTTCCTGGCGCGTCCAATCAAATGACTCAATTTAGCTGCAGTGAAATACAGCTTTTCCCTAACACGATCACGCACGGGTTCGTGGGCCGGTTATGAATGGCCGGCTTCAGCGAAACCGTGCAATTCGGACGATGCCATATCGAAGACTACTATCCATTCCCAGAACGTATAGTGATAAGTATTCTTTGCTGTACTTTGTGTAGTTATGTAACCATTACATTCGAACTTGACTTGTACACTATTCAAAGTGAGGCTGAAACTGTAGCCTCGCTGTGATCCTGACCATCTAGTGATTGGTTGTATTCGGCTTCCTTCGACAAATTCCGTTTTTATCTTGTCATATCTATTCTAAAGATTTGTGTAAACTCTACAATTTTTTTCTAATAGTGTGTATGTAGATAAAAATTAATAAATTTTGTTTGAATTACTTCATTTTCTTTGAGGTACGCTCCTTGTGTGGATGCAGCGATACGGTTGCTCGGCTACGTTAACGCGCCACAAGTGGGGAGGGGGTGTTGCTTTCCCCCGCCCCCACCACCACCACCGGTGCCGCCGCCACTGATGCGCCATATACAGCAATAACACACGATCACAACGCGTGTAAAACCAAACACTTTAGAAGAGTCTTTTCGAGCGCGTGCTCAGTGTGCGATGATTGCAGCGTCTCAGTTTGACGGTAACACGTAAACGAACATCCCGAATCATTGCTAAGAATATGTTTTACATAACAGGCGGGTCTGGGCAAAATTTAATAAATATAATATATTGTCATATATATATATATATATATATATATATATCACGACAACCACTCCAGCTTTATGGCCGAGTATAAAGTTAACCATTTCTGTACTATTGAGATTAAGAAAATATTCCACAAATTTCAAGTATTGTCAAATTTAACGAATGGCAGCTATGACGTCATCCAGAACAAACAAATCTGAAGTCACCTCACTGTTTCAGGGGATGTTGGCTTGACATGATTTTTCCCATCGTCTGCCAGAAAATGAATAATTTGTTTGGATTAGTAGATATATTTCAATATATTCAAAATTGACATCCCTGACTCAAATCATATGTGCTGCGTCTGATTCGAATTATGACTGCCAAATTATAGCGGGAAACTACATTTCTTCAGAATAAAAATAACATTTTCCAGTTTTTGAAAAGTAGTTAAAGCGCTACAGTCAGGTCGTCGCGAAGCGCGTTCTCTAATCTCGTTTAAACAAACAACGCGAGTGGTAAACGTGGTACGGGTCCCATATCGAACTGTGGTGCATTGTGGGATATTTTCTGTGAAATGGAAGACAATGTGCTCAGGCTTCCCCGCCACGCGCCAATAAACCTCTAAATCGGAACGTTAATTCGCAAGTATGTAGTTTCCTAGCAACCGTTATTTTAGGATATGATAAGAGTAAATACAC